CCATCGCGGCCAATGAAATCCCCGCGTAAGCGTCACGTGGGGAAGCGGTGACTGCGTGTGTCAGCGCACCTCGACTATAGGAGCACGTGGAGCGAAAGCTCACGCAGCAGAACCCAGCTAGGGATCCTGGATTCCATCCCCTCTCCCTCCCGTTCCGATCTGGATGAGCATCGTGCCGGCGTGAGATCGTGTAGTGCGACTAGCAGTCGTACTGCACTGGCTTGGCTTCTCATCTATGCAGCGTAATTCAGTGTTGCTACACCCTTAAAGCAGACAGACCTTACGCCGTCTAAACACAACCTCTAAATGTATTTTTTTGTTGTAAGTGACACGTGAGTTTTGAAACGGGTGCAGTGACGTGCGGGGCCCGTGGTCACGTGGTTTCGTTCCCAGCACTGGATTGGTTGGGACGGCTTGTAACGTCCGCGGCGCTCCATCGACAAAATGAAACGGAGCGTAGCAGCAAGTGGCAGCACGTGCCATCGCGCCTCTCCCTCGCCTTTCTGATGTCGGGCCCCTGGAAAGATACCGGGCCAGAAAAGGTCGGCGGCAGGCGACCTCGGCTCAGCCGAATGATGCAACCGGAGCCGACGGTTTCACGTGACACAATCTCCTACTTCGCTTCCAGTGCCAGGAGGAGCTTTGAAATGGCCCGGCGTTCGCTGACGATTAGGTCAAATCAGATTTTTGGCTGTTTCTTTTAATGACTATTCGGTGACGTATTTACAGGGTCAATTTGTCTTGTTGGCTATAGCAGTGTTTTTGTTTGTCATTCTTTAACCTTTACTACCTTAAAAGAAATTAAAGTTTGGCGAGTAATTAATTTATTTGCTACGCTAAGTAGTTGAAAAATTAGATGACCCGAGAAAGAAAGAAAGAGGAAATAGAGATAGAGAGAGGGAGAAAGAAAGAAAGGGAAGAAAAACGATGCATTTGGCATTAGAAAAATGAACCGTCGTGGACAATATGAGCCGCAACATTCAATCTGGCCTTTTCCTGCGTCGTCCATCCCCACAACCTTTCAATAGCTCTGAATTTGCCATAGTGTTCGAAGAATGGGACCTAACCTTCGCGTTTCATCACACAGTTTGGACCGAAGCTTTGTTTGAAACCAAGCAAGTACAAAAAGAAAAGGATGAGGGACAGTTGCGGTTGAAAATGTCCGCAATAATGCCTTTTAACGGGTATCGAACAGCGCATGAACACGAACAGAGTAAAAGACAAACACGGCGCTGTTTGTCTTTCGTGTTGTTCTCTCTCTGTCTCCCTGCGCTTTTTCGTTACCCGTTACAATAAACTAAAAACAAGCCCATTCGTCAATGCTACTAGACTTAACTTGATCTCAAATGCACCTGTTCTTATCTTCATTTGCCACAGAAATTGAGAGATTAGTAGAGAGTTTTAGGGAACCGTTTTCGCACATAAGATACGAAACGATGGGCCTTCCGGCACGAGCTGCGCATGTAGGAGTCTTCTGCTCTAGCGCATGCGCAGTTCCTACCGGAGGGCGTATCGTGCCGTATGGGACGTGCAACAAGGGTTCCTTAGAACTCTCTAGTAACGCTCCGCGAGGCACCGGACTTCTTTTGACTACGGTTCTCGGGGTTAAAACAAGTATATGGGGAACGAAACCCCAATGGGAGAAATATTTATTCGAGGGTGCTCGAAGCAGGCATGATGAAGAGCTTCAGCGTTGGGTAAGGTTACGTAATAGTTTGGAATTGATGCGGAAAACGTGTATGTACTTTTATCATTAGCTCATTAACTGGAAGATTTTGAGTATTTTAATCGTTAGCTCATTAATTGGAAGATTTTGAACACTGGGGACTACTCACCTAACATGAATCGCTGTAGCGACATATCGAACTGCTTGGTTACACTGAGGATATCTTGCTAACACTCAGCACAAAAAAGAGAGAGAGAAAAAAAAAACAAAAAAACCGAGAGGTAAAATTAATATGTGGGGCACAACACGTGGTTTCATTGATACGGATAACTGACTTTGAACAATGATTGGTACCTTCAGTTCGCAGGGACGGACGGATTTTTATTGGTTATTTTGCATAAATACTAATAAAAATCTCTCTCTCTCTCTCTCTCTCTTTCTGTCTTTACATAAAGCATTTTGAGGGCATTCATGGCCAGTCTTGAACTACTATGTTTTATTTCTAAATTTTTATTATTATTATTTTTTTTTTTAAATCTAGAGTGTGATGCACTGAGTGTACTATCGGATGATGTTGCCATGTTGCATAATGCTCTGCCCAGGAATGGGGGTTTGCACATAAAACTTCCTAAATCAAATAATAATAAAATATATATATATATATATATATATACATGTCAAGTTACAATGTAAGAGATGCCCAGATGCAGTCTGCAATGCATACAGAATCAAGGTTTGAAAACATGCTTACGGTCTCGGACGACACATAATGGTTCAGAAATCACACGCATTACGAATTGAACGAAGCCATTAAACGAGTTACTGAAGCGTACTGCGGGAGGAGAATCAACACCGTCCTGTTTTGTTGACGTTTTTCTCTTTATTCGCTTTTTGCGTTCATCACACACCCAATAAAAGAAAGAGTTAGAGCGTGCACAAAACGCCGACCCGGTCGCGATTATACACAAGTGCGGGCGGGTCACGGGGACGCGCTGTCTGCAAATGCTCGTCACGTGACCCCCCGACACACCTCGAGACAACAAGTCGATATCAGCCTAGCCTCGCATGCGTCAAGGCACAATGTATATATACTTTTGCAGCCCCCCTTGGTGTCAGTTCCGCATACACTTATCTAAAGTACGCACGTAAGCAAATGGGGACGCTGTAAAGATTACGGCGGTAGGGGGAAGGAGGTGGGGGGAGAAAGCCTTGGGCTCGCACTTGCACCGATGGAAGACCTTCTAGGTATAGTGGCCTAGCTCCGACAGGCACGGGTTAGCTAATGAAGCAAGGTCGCCGAGTGCTGTCAAATCCTTTACCATAGGGGGTCTTCTCTAGCTCGACGCAGTTGGCGAGTTACGAAAGCGACCGCTTCTTGCGACCTCGTAAAGTTTTGCTTTTGCCCGTCTCGAACCAAAGGATGCACTTCTACTCGCAACTTCCAGAGACGGTTGTACCGATGCGAGTCAATAGCGCTTCTTATAGGCCCTTTTTTTAAAAGCGTCGAAAGGGAGCGTTTTTTGCATTTTACGTCCCCGCGAACTTCTGGTCAGATGAGAGGACCAACGATCTCTCACCATAACACAGGTTCTTGCAACGTTATGTATATGTATGAAACGCTTTTGTTTTAATAAAAAAAAAAAAAAAAAAAAAGTTTGAAATTAGTTGCATTGCGTGCATGAAATATTACATAACCGCCTCCAGGCGGTTGTGTAAGGGCGAGGTTTATGTATGGGCGAGGTATTTGTTGTATATTTTGTAAAAATCTTGTAACAGGACCCATTCCTTCTTTTATGGTGAAAGCACGGCACAAGGGGCTCGCCAAATCCAGAACTTCGTGATTTATGTAGAACTTCATCGTCCCAGGATTTCTGACATCAACAGGCTTGGAAGGTGTGTTAAAAATGGAGCAATTTTTGCCTTCCGGGTTGTGAAACGCTTTCTGGGCATACACACAAGCTTTCTTCGGCAGGATATCATACGCCGAGCATGCATCCACACCAATGCCAGGTGACTCATCGTTTTTCGCCCGAGTGATAAGCACAGCAAAGTTGAACGGGTCGTGAAAATTGAGAATACTAAAGGGCGAACCTGAGGAGTGCCTTCGAACTTAGTTACGACAGTTGTATTTTTAGTGGCGTAAGAGCCACATTTGAACAAAGAGATTACGACAGCTAAGCAAGCTTTACGATTACGTGGTTTCTAATCTGGCAACCAAGAAAATGCCTCAAGAGCTTGGCAGCTGGTGTTTTCGCACCGGATCTCAATAAGACAAAAATGTCTCTCAACAATATGGGACTTGCCCGGTTTACGCCAATGCCTATGCCGAGCTTCTCATTTTTTTACGTCGATATGGGTCTAAAGATGGCGCTGCGACTACGTTCTTCAGTGTGAACACGGGCTTTTGTGCATCCACTGTTTCACACCAACAAATGCACTGTGTAGGAACAGGTGGTATACTCACATAATATTCGCACATGCTTAGCGACTGAAGCGAAATAAAATGGTTAGGGTTGGAGCTAATGTCATCTCACTTTCCCTACGCGTGGGTATGAGCGGGAGCGAGATTGCGCGCCGACAGGATTATTTTTCTTCAAATGATCGGTATGACTTTTCCAAGTTGAAAAGGCTGAATCGCATGCAAGCGATATAGCGAGCGACGAGACGAGCGACGGCGACAGCGACAAAGATGTCTTACAGTCGCTCGACGCGTCGCTCGGCTTTTGGATGTCTAGAAAATTTGGCGATTTGGCGCTGCGCAGGCAAAACGATGTTTTCGCCCATACACTGAAAGTGACAATTCAAGAGGGAGGCGCTCCTGCGAAAAGGGTATCTGCGGAGCGCAAGTTCGTCTGCTTCTTTTGCGGAGGTTGTGGTCACGTCAGAACGCCGAGCCCCGATTGGTTCTGAATGAAGAATAGTGGGTTGATCTCATGGCAGCTTGTTTTGAGGTCTACCCACTATCCTTCAATCAGAGCCAATCAGAGCTCGGCGTCTTTCTGACGTCACCGCAACCCCTGCGCAAGAAGCAGACGACTTACTGCCCCGCATAGTCTTTCAGGCCAAAAGATAGCAATTGTTAGAGTAACTGACAGGATGAGAACAACTGGGCGTTTCTTTCAGATGTCGAGCCCCAGGCACGCGCTCGTCGCCTTCCATCGTGCCCTGGCTGCGCGTGCATGCTCGAAGGTCGCGAGACGCCAAAGTCTTATCGAAGCCAGAAACCTGGCATGGAGGGGGAGACAACTGCCGCTGTCGTTCCGTCAGTAACTAGGGTGGACAAACGTTTTCGAGGTGTTCCTCGTAGGCGTTTACGTCGGTCCTGTTTGCTTACCCTTGAACGACCTCGCGAGTAGCCTCGCGGCGGCGCAGTCGGGCTTCACGCCGAGGGTGGCGATGCCTCGGATGGGTCTTCCGGTGCGCTGATTGACGCACCAGCAGTAGCCCGTGTGACACTGGGCCTCGGCGTACGTGCCGTCGCTGCCGCACTCCGGGACGTAGATCCTGCCCTTGGGAGCCTGGCGGTGGGCCTCCAGAGCCTTTCGGCGAGCGCTCGAGCAGTCCTGGACTTCGTCTAGGGAAAAAGAAGGTCGGCAGGACTCTAAGTGCCCCGACTGGTAACTTTGTGTTGAAGCAGGGATGGGTGCTAGGAGAGGCTGAGAGGGCTAAAACCATCGAGGCCTGCAGGCCCGCTATAGACCAGTCCAATAATCGCCTTCTGAGCGCTGTCATCTTTTGTCTACTATGGGCTATGGAACATGTTTTAGACGTGCAGTAGCTTTCTTCTGCGTTCACGCCACACGTGTGACCACAACACTGTGACTCACTATTTATGGCCTGGGTTACTAATATGGCTCCGTGTTTTCAGAGTGTATGATTTTTCAAATGATCGGGGTGTGTTTTTTTCGGGGTTTACTACTTTTTCGGAACCGGTGTTTTTTGGTGTGTATTTTCTATGCCAGACAAGATATCGTTGTTTATCGGGGCTAATGTTATAAAACAGCTGCTTATTTATAAACGTCTGACCCCAAATGACCCCCCCCCCCCCCCCCCCCCCCCCGGGGTGTCCTCTTTCTTACGAGGGTCTATCGAACTCACGTCGTTGACCCAAGTACTCGAAAAACGTCATCCCGGCACCGCGAACAGAGGGAGATGGGACTAGAGACGTGGTTCCCAAAGAACCATGTCGCCTGCAATAGATACTAAATAAAAAAAAAAGCGAGTACAGTTAGTAAGGGTCTGGTTGAAGCTCTTCAAAACGAAAAAAAAAGCTACAAATATTTTTTTCCTCTCCTATAGACCGTTTTATCGTGGGTAGCGCCATTTTGAGAGTGAGAAAGAAAAGGGGAAAGGACTACCGGTGCTTTCCCCCTTTCTGATTGTGTAGAAAGAGTGAAAGTCCCGGATGAGAGGCTTGGCCGGTGTTGGGCGTGTGCAGTGCCCCAACTTCGTTCGCGCTTTCTTCCAGCTTTCAAACTCCCAAACTTATATAGAGCCATGGTCTTCGATGGCGACAGTCCCCCGGTCATCGGGACACCATTGCTGGGTGACAGGGTGCACGAATAACGACAGAAAGCGTCGAATACTGACCGAGGACCTATGTAGCTTGCATGGAATCCGGCAAGGCAAGTACGGCTGGAATGTTTTCTAAGCTCCATTGCTTTCCGCATGACTGGAAATGATGAACCATTTATACATTTTTGCTTGCAATGGGCCTATTTCAACGTAGCCGCTTTTAGTTGTAATCAACAAGCGATACACGAAACGGGAACCTCAATTAACTTTGTAAACGCCCGGAGCTGCTACATATCGTCTTGCTGTGCTGTTTTTATCTTCGTGTCCCTGTTCTTATATCTCCTTGTGAATGAACGACGAAGTCGCTCTAGACGTACTTTTATCGAACCGCAGAAAGCCTCGAAGCAGCCACGAATTATCTTACTATTTGATGCAATGTGTTGGGTACTCACCTCCAATTTCTATAGCTGGAACGTTCGCTGCCGCTGTTTCCCCCGTCGCCACACTGGCGGATGCCATGACTCAAACAAAGAAACGTGCACACTGGGCTCGAAAACGCAGATCGCAACACACGAAACGTTCCTGCAGCGATTATCAAGCGCCTCAAAGCGTCTTAAGCAACGGAAACAACCCACCAGCGGCACTTCAAGGAGCGCTTTTGCCGGCTCTCTTGTATCGCGCAGGAGATCGCGATTGAAAAACAAACAAACAAACAATAGAACTACGTTTTCAACAATTTCCAGCCTCACCCGGCGGCGGAAATGAGCCTTCAACTAAGTGCTGTAGATGATAAAATCGAGTCAGTGAGCACTGCAAATTATCACTATTAAGATAAATTCAGCTACGAAATTTTACAAGCTGAAACAGCAGTTATCACGAGAAAACTCGCACGCGCATTGCGAGCGTACCCCATGTTCATCGGCGGTACAGCGTTCGGTGCGCGCTTCATTCACGAAATGTTCCGAGCGAAGTCGAGAGGATGGCGTTGAGGAAACGCCTTTTCGGTTTACGGACGCAATCCACTGCCGCCGGAGACAGGGGTCATGTGGAGAGCGATGGAGCTGAAAGACATTGCAGCCGCTCTCGCCTTGCCGGGTTCCTTGCAAGCTACATATGTCCTCGGACAGTATTCTATGCTTTCTGTTTTTATTCCTGCACCCTATGACCCAGCAATGGTGTCCCGATGACCGGGGGACTGTTGCCATCGAAGCCTCTGGCTCTAATTAAGTTTGCGAGTTTAAAACAGGAAAGAAAGCGCGAACGAAGTTCGGGCACAGCAGACATCCAACACCGGCGAAGCCTCTCATCCGGGACTTTCACTCTTTCTACACAATCAGAAAGGGGGAAAGCGCCGGTAGCCCTTTCCCTTTTTCTCTCTCGCCCTCTTTCAGTAAAACGGTCTATACACGGGGGTTTCCTTATTCAAAGGCAGGTCCAATTCGAATCTTTTTTGTTTTTCCCGATTCCGAGAAAACCACATCGGGGATGTCCATCGAGATTTATCGGTATTTACCGAAGACACGGAACGCTAGTGATAAACACCATAAGGTTGTGTAAAGTAGGTTCTAACATAAGAGACGCATTGGACAAGCTCCTTCCACAAAGCTCTCTGCTCGCCATGATTGGTGGTTTACTCCTCTCCACTCGTCTACTTTCCAGGATTCGTTCTGCTAAACTGGAAAGAGGGGAGGGCTTGGAAAAGGGGGGGGGGGGGGGGGGGAGGGGGACTTGTGATACGTTTTATTATGTGGGAACAGACTATATGGTAGTATAGACCAACTCAACTCTCTGACGTCACGGCACTGCGGTGGCGCTGCTGTCGGCACTGCGCTTGTGCAGATAAAGCATTCTGTTATCAATGTGGTACAGATAAAGCATTCTGCTGTCAAATTATTTACTTGCTGATAGGGGACGCAAAGCGCGCCAGTTAAAATATGAAAAAGTTAGCTGATGTCTGGATCAATGAAGAAGGCTCCGTATATGTTACTCTGTTAAGACGAGACTTCAGAGTTGGCAGACTGGTATGAAGTCGTGTCAGATGTCAGTACTCATGAAGAACACTAACAGCTTAGACGCAATATAGAGGAATGATACACTCTCTTAGAAAGGAATACTTTGTTTTTAGGAGAAAAACGGGCATGACTGTCTGTGAGTGATGCCAGCGATCTATTATGGTGACAACGGATGCAGTCACTGAGTTATGTCGTTGCATCAAGCCCTTATAGAACTCACGTGTTTCTATGTTAATAGGAGCGTTTTTCCCACCTAGTCAACATTTTCCTGCCTAGTAACAGAGCCTCAGGAACGAAGTTTACCGAGTTGGGGAACCAAGGATGGTGCTTATAACGGCTTATTTTTAACAGCGAGTTACTTTCCTGCATTTGATGGAGAGCAATGCCACCCTGACAGGGAACGTGGTGGGCAGGTCCCGCCATTTTGGGGCGTAATTGTGACACTAAAAGAGCATAACCTCTGAATATACGTTGATTCGTTTTTGAATTATTTTTTTAAATGATGTAATAACGTAATTTCATTATAAGGGAGTTTTGCTGCAAAACATTTTTTCCTTTCATTACAAATCTCTCAGGCAAAAATAGTCTCACCTTCGTCTTTGTTTTCTAAGACGTCTTGGTCATCCGTATACCTGGTCCCACTGTTGAGCCTCGTGTCGGGGTCGCCCCAGACGCCACCTGGAGGCCCTGCGTGACGTCAGATATAAAAGGTCACTGTGGCAAAGAGCAGCGGATAGAAATGGTTCAATGATTATTAAAAAAAAATTAGGGTTGTGTGTCGTGATATAACATATATCTTGAATATATCGGATATAAGTGAACTATATTACTTAATTTGTTGTGCGAAAAAGAAGGTTCCTGAGCTAGTTCAGGAGTGAGACATTACTGGCCAACCCCGAACTAAAGAAAAGAAAACAAAAGACACCCTCTGGTAGTTTTTGTGTGACCTCTCACGTTTCCCTAAGAGATTTATGTTCTTGACACCATGAAGAACATGAGTCTCGTATATACCTCGTTACAGCTTAAAGTTATGTCCACAAACTTTCGACTTTATAATACCGTGTGCTCTGAAACCTTTTAAAACCTCTTACAACGAGAGAACATACTGGCGTCATCTATCGGGTGGCCGTGGAACACGTGGTGGTCCCTTATATTTCTATTTTTTCGTGCATCATTTTTTCTCTCTTGGCTCGAAAATTTCTGTCGATGTTAAAAACGACCATTTCTCATAAGTAGTACGTGTATTTCACGCCGAAAATATCGCAAAACCTTCGCTCTAGTCAAATACAGTTCCAGGGTCACCTCAAAAGATGGCGCCAGCGTGCCAATGTGTCCCTTTGTGCGAAATTTTAGGTTTAAGGCATTCGGTCCTAAGAAGGCGCAAGTGTATGGATAAGCCTCAAATTCAGACGCAACTGACGCGAGCAGCTGATGGGACCAATCAAGCAACATCAAAAGCGCACCATCATAAAGTTCGTCGTGTTTCAGAATAGGCCTAGGGACTTGCGCTTTTGACGCCAACGGCCATCGACGCCTGCGCGCCGATGGCCTTGGTTGCAGAGTTCCGGGTATCGTAGCGGGTTGCGGAGAGCATGATGGGACGGCGAAAACGATCTACGAAACTCCATATATCGCAGCGACGCTACGAGATATCGTAGCGTCGCTGCGTCTGGGCTCAAGCTGAAACCAATTGTAGACACTGACAGCTTCAGAAATTCAGTTCGTGCTTGGTGGTGTAGATGCCAGGGAGTTTGTGGTAATAATATGCTAGGAACTTTGCTAGGAAGTTCGTGGTAGATGCTAGGGAGTTTGTGGTAATAAGATGCTAGGGACTTTGCTAAAGAGTTCGTGGTAGATGATAGGGACTTTGTGGTAATAAGGTGCTAGGGACTTTGCTAGGGAGTTCGTGGTAGATGCTAGGAAGTTCGCGGTAGATGCTATGTTTTGTATCACCCTGAGTCCATATTCAGCCAACGCTACAAGCTGAAGGGATCAATTAGACAGGGTCAAAATCGTACTGTTGTGGCGTTCGTCATGTATCTGCTACGAGCTTGGTTTTATCATCGTTGGATCAATCACGTACAAGGAAGGCGTACTGACTTGAGCTTTTGGCGCCGTTTGACTCGTCGCATTAGCTCTTAGCGTCGATTGTGTCTGAACTTCAGCTAAAACGAAGTATAGGGTGTTTGTGGTAATACGATGCTAGTGGCCAGTTCGTAGCAGATGTTGGAGTCCATGGTAATAAGATGCTGGGGACTTTGCCTGGGAGTTTGTGGTAGTTCCGAGGGTGCGTGCAGTGATACGAGGGACCTTGCTAGGGGCTAGTTCGCGGTATATGCTAGTGAGTTCGTGGTAATAAGATGTTAGGGGCTTTGCAAGGGAGTTTGAGGTAGTGTCCAGGGAGTGTGTGGTGATATGAAGGACCTTGCTAGGGGCTGGTTCGTGGCGGATGCTAGGGAGTTCGTGGTAATAAGATGCTAGGGACCTTGCTAGGTAGTTCGTGGTAGTTGCTAAGGAGTGTGTTGTGGTGGGGTGGATTTCGCTAGGGGCGAGTTCGCGGTAGATTCTGGGGTGTTCGTGGTAGTTAGATACCAGGGACTCTGCTAGAGAGTTCGGGGTGGTTGCTAGGGAGTCTGTGGTGATACGATCAACCTTGCCAGGGTCTAGTTCGGGGACGATGCTAGGGAGTTCGTGGTAATAAGATGCCAGGAATTCCCCATGCCCTGCGTTCCTTAAGCATCCCGTTACTACAGTGAAACATTGGCATTTACTCCGAAGCTTCGTTTCACTTCATCGGGACCACTCGCGGGCGAGATGAGTCAGACCGCAGCCGACGCTACACGATCCGATGGGGCCAATCAAGTACCGCCAAGATAGCATCGTCGGGGTGCTTGTTTCTTTGTTGGTTTGCTATCAGCAGTTAAACCGAACACGCGCATGAAAAGATGCGCAGTATCGCGGTGCATTTCGCATGTGTGGGATTGGTTTTGTTGGCGACAGCATGCAAATGAGCAAAGACGAGGCGCCGTGGCAATGTACTTCTGGCACTGCTTCATTGGCTCAATCGGATCGCACACAGCGGTCGGACGGAAAGTGAAACGAAGAGTCTTTCTTGAGTTCTTCCTACGAGCTTTGATTGCCCTTTTTGTTTTATTGAACCCAGGGCCCTTATTATACGTAGGATGGTACTCAGAATAACATTGAACCGTTGTATTGTTTTTTTCCTGCAAGCGCGGATTCTACCTTCTGGAAATGCGTTCATTTCACTCAACGCGCCTGTCTTCGTGCGTGCCGAGCTGCAATTGCTCTTTATTAAATAAATGAGAAACTGAAATTTATCACAAAAATCGACAACATTTGTAAAAAACAACAACAACGGGTTTAGTTATAAGATTAGAGTTTTGCAGGCAAGTTTAATCGTTAGAAAGTGCTGAATACCGCGACTAAGTAATGTAGTAATGCTAATGAAACTCTAGGAATTACCTTCTTAATTGAACGAAAAATTATTGAGAGATAAGAAAACAAAGCGGTAATAGCACAGCACAGGGAACTTGAGTTATGATAGAGGTTGATGTTGAATTTAGTGAGAATCAAGTTCTATTGAAACTTTATACTCGATATCTAAAACGAAATGCAAATATTTTCTTCGTGCAGATTGAGGCACTTTGAAACCACGAATGTTCGCGGCAATTTCAATCAGATTTGTTAGGCATAGGACGTCGCGATGTACAAGATGCTTGTTTCCGCGCTTTCATCTTAAAGTTCAGCGAAAGCAAATGAGATATGAGACGTGTGGGCTTTTATGGCCTACACAATTTCTACGCAACGCTGCAAAATCTTGTGTAGCCGAATGACTTACAGTACAAGAAAAGTTCAAAACCCCAGCAAACAAGACTTATAAAAAAATATTGAGGCTGGATTTATCGGAGATATAACATCAAAACTGTATGGATGAGGCGATTTCAGTAGGTCACTGACTCAAAATAAATTTGGTGCGTCTACTTTTCTGCAAAGCACATGCACCCTCTTAATTCACGCTGTCTCTAACATTGTCTTCCTCCTCAGTAGGAGTGCGAAGGATAAGCCACAAGTGGGAATTGAGCCTTTTTAGGCATCGAACCATAGCCGAAAAAGATCTTTGCACGAGGTTTCTCATCCCCACAGGACTAACTACGACGAAATTCGAGCCTCTCACCAAGAGTGTCGACTACTCCTGAATTGTACGTCGCCGTTCTTGCGGCATGCGTGGTCACCCTGCAGTACAACACTAGCCTAATTTCTTATATTCGCGACTCCAGCAAAACGGACGCCGCCAAGCGGGAAAACCGGGAACCAGCCGGTCCAGGTCGCGCCGCGCCCCTCGGCGTCTCTGGTGGCTTTCGCGGAGACGTTTGTTCGGCGCGGTGGCGAACAATGTAATTTGACGAAGGTCCTAATATTTCTTAAGTTTGCCTGGGTGATCATTAGTGTGGTGAAGCCTCAGTAGATTGTTTTCTTCTATTACGTGTTTTAAAGCCCGTTTACTCCGCAGCACACGGTCGCGTGCTTTCGATTTCTTGGATGGGGAGGAATCACGGAAAAACTTTTTGATTCTTGTCTGTCTCGAATCACATTCAAAGTGACGGCTGCTTGGTAACTGATACTGGAGGGAACATCAATGTTGCAGTCAAGTGAATGGGAAGGTTCGATAGCTGCTTTTCTTGAGTTTGGTTGTGCTCGGTTAGCTTCAAGTTCGAGCCACCCACGCCGGTCGGTGCGTTGGCTATTCATTTTGGCTGCTTTTCGCCGAAAAAACCTCTGGACCACACTGAAGGAGTTGGGCTGATTTCGCAATTACTTGATTCAGGAAAACTTGCTCGCTGCAAATGATTAATGAGGGAAATTATCTGTTGTCAAAAGGTGGGAGACAAGTCTCGCAACGTTAGATGCTGTCACGGCATTTTGACCTATCGCGCCTCCAATATTTATATTACGAGGACGTCGAAGCCAGCAGCACTATACGTCTACATTGGTCAGGTTGACCGGCCACAAAAAAATACTAATTTTCTCCGTTCAGCATTTGAAGCATAGTTCAATGCAGAGAGGTTCTGCGTGGATCTTCATTGAAGACTCTCTTCAGTTTGTCTCCGTGCTGCCGGCTATAGAACGATTTGGCTAAGTTTAAGTGGTATGTCTCCGTCTGTCAAATATACTTTTATTCAGCATCTCACCTAATGGCTAGTCAACTAAGCTCATGTTTCAACCCGAAGGATATACTAATATCGCTTTAGTGGGACATAGTACATAATATAATGCATAACCCGCTCGTCAAAATGACTTCTCGGTTGCTACTAAAACCTGAATTGAAATACGAGTATCAGCTGCTTAGTGGGGCGCCGGCGGTTTAACATGGTCCTTGGCTTAAAAAGCGCTCGCTTAATTTTCGTAATTTTCCTGCAGCCTGTGTTGTTGGCCGAGCAGACGACTGGAGCTGTTTCGGAAACGCGGATACGCACAAAAGCTCGATTTCGCGGACAGATAAGTCGCATGGTCGAGGCATGCGAGTTAGCTGAAAAGTTACTCTCTGTGGAACAATTCTATAGTCATCGCCGCTTTCCTTAGATGATCAAAACGGATTAGCATATTACCATCTCTCCGGAGCCCATAGTTTCGGTTTTGAACGAAATCTCCGAAACGAAAGTTTGAAACGAAAAGAACAAAAAAACACCGGCAAAACAAAACTATGCTTTGCAAGTTTATCTGCACCGGCTACACTTAACCGTCTCAGTTCAAATACCTATATAATTGGGCATTAAACAAAAGAAAATCGCTTTACAGACGTACGCGTCCTTAAAGGGGTCATGAAACGCTTTTCCAACTTTTTCCTGTTTCGCTTTCCTCCTCAACTCATAAATCGCGCATTCCACCAAACAGTTAAAGAAGACGAAAAGGGGGAGTCCCCTCTTGCTCGCACTCTCGTTTGTGTAATCCCGGACACATCCATTCTCCCCCTAGAAGATTAGCCCGTCGCTCAAAATTCAGACAAAAGTCGCTTTCCCCACCCCGTTCATTCCGAAGCTGACAGTGCTGTTGAAGCTACGTGCTCGTTGGGCCAGCCACGCTTGCCACGTGAGCCTGGCAAATGTGGCTGCAGAGAATGAAGTCAGGTGATGAAAGGGAGGCGGCTGATTGGTCCGGCAAGCGCGTAGCTTCCACCACAATGTCAGCTTAGGGGTGAAGGGAATAAGTGAGGTCCGGTTGCGTGTGACGTCAGTTTGAACCAGATAACGCGCTTTTGGGACCGCGGTTGTATCACAGTGAAAAGGCAGAGAGGTTGCGAAGGGGAGGAGGTACGAAATAGTCCGCTCTGTTTTCAAATTTTCGCACTGAAACTCAGGCTTTTGACTGTCTACCTTTTTCTTTTGGTCCACTGAACGATGTGCTATTAGTAAAATCCCAATCTAAAATGACTTATCCCAACCCAAAAATCGTTTCATGGGCCCTTTAAACGGCTGAAAAGGCAAAGTCAAATTTGGGGGTTTTACGTGCCAAACCTACGACGGGCATCTGGCACGCAGCGGAGGACTGGAGATTAATTTCGACCACCTGGGGATTTTTTGACGTGCAATTGAAAGCTCTGTTACACGGCGCCTTCTCCGCAATAAGCCTCCGTCATATTGCGGGCACCTCGGTCGGGATTCGAACCCGCCACCTGGTAAACGGCTGAATTCCCAAACAAGAGGCGCACAACGGCCACTAAATCACTGCCGCCTCGCCACGGCTTGTCTCGTAAAAAGGATATGCATAAGGAGAGTGATCTAGTTGAGTTTATCGAGTTCGGCGCTGGAGGCCCGGCTCGGTGGACGGGAGTAGAGTAAATAAATTGCGGAGCCATGGTATCGGATTATTTTTTCTTTTGCCGCCAACTCATTATTAGCAAAGAAGGGTTACAAGCTCCAAAATTGACTTCAGCGCTTGCGGGGCAGATTTTTCGCTCTGCATTCGCGAAATGTAGACCTTAAGCTGAAGCCCTATGAGCAGGAAGCTTCTTGAACCTTCGGACGTTATGTGTGCCACTTAGAAATGCGTAAATCCATTCTTTTTATAACGCGAGCGTTGTTTCAACGCGGCAGTGTTCAAGCAGACGACAATCGACAACGCAGCGCGTACTCGCGTTGCGCTTCCAAAAGATCCTGGTGATATACATGACGGCGCTTGCGCGCCACCGCCCAGCGCATACGGGGTAAACTGTGCCTCATGTCGTCGCGCCCGTCACGTTTTCTGCAGGAAAGACGTTCGCTTTTCCTGCAATGCTTGAAGCGAAACGTTTGAGACCATTGCGATTTTCTGCTCCGCAAGCGGAGTATGTAACTCTGGACAGGAGCTGTTGCTCCAGACAGAAGCCACCGTATACTCACGGAGTCTTTCACCGTCGTTGCGATCGTCGTCCTCGTCCCCGCCGCCGATGACGACGCGGCTCCTGGCCACCTTGCTGAGGAGGAACTCGTCCGCTCCGCCGGGGTCCCTCCTGGGCGAGTCCTGGAGGGCCGGTCGGGGCATCGACGGTGTCCTGGGGACAGCGGCGGCCCTGTCCCGGTGAGCGGGCGGGGCGGTGCTCGGCGCAGCGGCTTCCGCCGCGGCCCCTCCATGCTCCTCGTCTGAGTTCAAGGACATGAACAGACGAAAAGACACCACTGCGTCAACCTCGGGGTAAGCCGCCATTCTGCAGCAATGGGGGCCCGAGCTCGCAAGAACCGTTTTAGAGTCGCTCAAGTCGAAAGGGGAATCAACACTTCACAGTGGACTCAGAAAACAATATAACTAAGAGTACCATATGCGTTTTTTTTTTTTTTGTCATTGACGCTAGCAGTGTGTACTGAGAGGTGCACCGAGGAAAGAAAACTATGAACCACATATTATTGAGCTCACATCAGGTCACAGTGAAATCTACACATTAATTTAATTGTGGCCTTTCGGCTCTGTGAGGCATCAGATTGCGAGAGATTGCAGATGGCTTAGAGATTTACATAACAAATATAGAGAAATACTTGAATCCAAGTGACCAGATCTGCCATGAACCGGTAGTAACTGTTACCATTGTAATCATACTACATCGTTGGCGCCCATGTGTCCACTATTTTCAGTGCTTGTATATGTTCAAGTGTATACCAGGTATACATTTGAGCTCTCAGTACCTATACCAAGCCATAGGTACCTATACCCATCATACAATACCTATACCTGGTATTCGTAGAGATACCAGTACCACTACCTGTTGTACCTCTACATATACCTATAGGTATAGGTACCAGTACCTACACCTTGTATCAGCACCTTTACCTAATATAGGCACCGACAACTTAACAAACAGTGTGTGGTTTACTAGCCTCTTGATTGTAACTCGTCTCATGAATTTGTATCGGCTAATGCTGCAACCTAATTAGCCGAGGAGCAATAATAAGATGATCGCCATGCCTGCAGTGTTTTATAATTAAGCTGTAGGTTTCCATAGTGATTATCTGTCAAGTAGAAATCACCCCACTTTCTCGTCGTCCCCCTTGTTTCAGAGGCGGCGAAAAGCCTAGGCTATGTAACCTTCCAAAACAAGTCAAAACGAATCTATTGCTATCTTAATCCCCTTCTTTATTCTCTTCTTTTTATCTCTAGATTTCACGTTACTTAGTTTTTTTCAGTTTTTTTCCTTTGGACTTTCCTCACTTGCAATTTTATTCCTTCTGGAATGATATTTACACACAGTGGTGATGGGTGCCACTTCTACTGCGTTGTTGGGTCCAATGTGCCACAGCGTTCTGGTGACTTGGTGAGGCCACCTAAACTTTGAAGGAGAACTTGGCAAGCCGTTCCGTACCAAGACAAAGTCACCCATTCGTAGCCTTGGAAGCACATTATTATGTCGCATATCAAAATGCATTTTCATCTGACATCAATATTTCTCTTGTTGAGCTTCACTCTCTCAGCATTATTTGATTGCTAATTGTCCCGCAATTCCGAACAAGCTGTCAGCCTTCAGCAGCGTAGCTTTTTCTGAGTTCACAAAAAGAAAGCTGCATCCTAACCCTGCTGTGTAGGAACGGTTATAATGCGCTACAGCAGCCTCAAGCGAACATTTCGAGCCCCTGGGAAGTTGGGGCACATGTTCATATATATTGTTTGATGTCTCCGATTGCACGCTCCACTAGGCCATTTGCAAAAGGATGGTATGGTGCTGTGAATCGGAGGGTTATCCCGCGGTCTTCTGCCCAACCTTTTAGTTTGCGGCTACGGAAAGCTGGTCCATTTTCCGAAACAAACAGCCTTGACGCTTCTATGCATATCTCTGCTGAGCCAATAGATCATACTGTTAGGGTCTTCCCTGCCTGGTTTGGCTGCCACCAATCGGGTGCACTCATCGATGCACAGTGAAAATACCTGAGTTTTCTTCACTCCTTCGCTATTCTTTTTTCGATCTCCGCGAACTCAAGGTGACGCACTTTGAACGGTGTCTTGGAGTGTTCAGGTAGCGTAATTTGGTCTGTACGTTGTTTTTACTTCGCTTTCAAGATCCGGCATTCATGGCAGGACCTGATGTATTATTGTAATGTGTCGTCTTTCATATGTAGCCACATGAAGCGCCTGGTCAGCTTCATGAAAGTCCACCAGAACCGGTCATGACCTCCTGACTCTTGGCTTGTGTGGTACAATTCTTGGATCTGAGGAACCATTGTGGACGGAACGTGAAATTTTTTATTTGTTCCAAGTTCTTTCATCAGCTCCTCCGATGAAATGTTAGCTTTCTGGAGGATAACTTCGATGAGCTCCTGAGATGTGACATGCTCTGGTAGCTCCACGGCTGATTTTTCTTGAACTTGGTAACGGTTGAAAACCACTTGGTCAAGGTTCTGAGCAACAAAAATTGTAGCCACATGTTCCGCATCGACTGCGACTACGCTAAATTATGTAACGCTCCAAAGAAAAGGTAAAATGCTTATCGACATATTAAGCCCTTCTTTTTATTCTCTAATATTTTTCTTTCTAGATTTCGCGCTACTTCGCTTTATTTTTTGGGGGGGCTTTCTTCATGCAGTACTATCAGTCTCCGGCGGCCCATCACCAGCAGTGTTTAACCAAATGTGTCTCGTAGATTAGGTAATGCAGGAAATGCCCCTCCGTGATCTAGGTGATTTTTCGATGGCTCATACATATGCATGAACTCTAAAAGGTCATCATACATTGTCCTGAATACTGGGACAGCGTGACTGTCGTCATCACTGGAGCATCACTGAGAAATAATCTGCCTAATGTTCACAGCCTCTGCAGGGTATACTGCTTTGTACTCTGACCACACAGGTGTTTTATACCGGAATTTAGTGAATCAAATTTGTCAAATGACGGTCGGTAACATGATATGGGATATCGCTTTTTCATGTCGAGAAATTGTAGATTTAGCAGTCAAATACAACAGAGTTTTGGTGTTTGAGCACTACATTGACACACATAAGGACAACGAGTTAGTGCGACTTCCTTAGATTTGCTGATGTTAATACGGTACTCCACTTTTTAATTAAGTTAGGGTTAAAATGCGGCTGTATAAAACATCTTTCTCAATCGTCGCATGCAGAAATATTCCCAGAAAGTTGATGATTCCTGCCGAGACTCGAGAGACTATAAACACAACGTTCCATTATTGTTTCAAGACGGGCCCCCAAAATGTGATATTGCACAGTGGTTCCGGCCTTTTTGGCATGCTGTTATGTTTAACTGGGAAGAGAGTTAGAGGAAGAGAAGATGGCTTATGTAAAAAGACTGGTTTTTGGTTGTGTGTGCGCACGCATCGATCATGGTGTTCCAACATCCCGAACTTACTCCACGACTGACATCTTCATTACGCAAAATATTTGTTATACATTTAATTTTGAGGAAAAGAACAAACATTTATACGAATATTTTCGTCAATTATTGTTGTAATAAATCATGTGAGTGCTTTGAAACTTTAATTCTCATTTTCAGCAACGCTGCGAATTGTTTATTTAAGTTCCAAGTTTAAGCGTAATAGCAATTAGTTTTACAGAAGAGCTGTTTTTTTTAAACAGACCGACACCTTAAAAATAATAAAACTAGTTTTTACAGCATTGAGTTCCCATATAAATTTGCTATGAAGCTGCCAAAAACTATTTATAAATTAAAAAAAAGCCCCAAAAGAATAGCTTCAATTTTAAGTTTTTATAATAAATAATTGGAGAGCTACTACATATGAGATTTATTTCTTACATAACCACGAACGAATGAACACATTTATGAAAGTAGAACTTTGTAATTATTTTTTGGTTGTGCAGTTGCTGCAAAGAAGAAAAATTTAACACTTGCTCATGCAAGATGGCTCCCGTTACGACTGGCACTTAAGTCTGAAACAATCACAGACAAAAAATGAACCATACATATGACTGGTTCCGTAGATTATAAGGATATTCTCCGATACTAGAGTAAGAAAAAAAAATTTAACAAGGAAACTGCAGTTAGAAGTTCTAATTTGTCTCACGTGCGTCCATTTTAACAACTATGTCAACAACTTGACTGTTTTAGCAAGCATGTTAGCAATGTGATGTTAGCAAGCATTGTAGTAAAGCACTAACGCTTAAAGCAAATACAAAAGTTAAAAGCATGGTCTCAGCGGAAAGGCATGGTAGATTGGACCAATTATTTAATGATCATATCTTCCTGCAAAAATAAATGCATTGTATTCCACTTTTAATTTTATTTTGCAGGATGTTCTAAAAATTAATGTTTAAATTTCATCAATCATGGTTTTGTTTTGAGTTAAAAAAAATTAAAGATTGGTTCATTAAGTTTTTAACGTCTGTACAGCCCCTGTGAAAAGACAGCAAGGTGCTGTGACATGCAAAGTGTGCTGCACATTCACGAACACAGATATTGCACCTTTTTGAGGCGGTAAACATTGAGGGGAAGTTCCAGGTAACAAGAAAGACAACAGCATGATCCTTAGGGAAGGCCAGTTGATCTCTTTCTGGCTCAACCTGCCGCTACGTTTTACGTCTGCGTGACAGCAAGGAATTAGTTAACAACCAAAACTTTGCTTTCAAACGCTGTTTCGAACAAGAAAACTTGTTTTAACGTGGAATCTTTGACCGTTTCAGGGCATATTTAGCTCAAACCAATAGTTCGTCTGCCATCTTATGAGCAGGTTTAAAGTAAATCGGCCATTTAACAGACACATATAGAGCCCTTCAGTTCAAACGCCCTGTCAAACGAGCTTTGAGGATTAGCAGTAAGAACATCAAAATTAATATTTCTTATTTATCATAATTAGGTTTACGCAACCGAAGCTGAATTTAATTACGTCTCGTGTTTTTGCCATAAAGGGGCAACACGGCAATTTAGGTGGATTATTAACGTGACTCACGTAGTAGACGTGATTGCAGTATAGTGTTCCCAGACAACACCCTTTCCTACTAAAATCAACCGGAGAAGGAATTCAAATATCAATGTTAAAGACTTATGCATGAGATTGCTAGAACGTTGATATTTAGCCAAACCCAGTCTTGTAACAGATTGCATACCATAGGGCATTTGCAGAGATGACTGTGTTTTTTTTTTATCAATGACTACCAACGCTGAGGCCCAGCAACGCCGTGCACGTTATGGTCCCTTACCTACAATCGATTGACGACAGGTCGAGCCAGAATCATCTATAGACACCAGAGTCACTAAGATGTAATTAAATGGGACAAGAAACGTAAAGGAAGCAACACCTACAAAACACCACACACGCAGGATACAACAAGGACAGGACTGAAAATGGACAGAACAAAGCAGACAGTACACCACACAACCACGAACGACACAGACGCAATACGAGAAACGAACAAAACTTTTGAACAAGTCAAAGCTGCAAAAGCAGTGGTGCACGATCAGTACCCGTCACTGCCCCCACGCACGTCACTTGCGGCGACGCTGCTTTGGAAACGCTATGAGGACGCGTAGCCGTTATACATAAAACCTCGTGACCAGCTGGGTTCAGAATTTTATATAGTGGTCCAGCTCTTCATGAATCTGGTAGTTTCCTCCGCCATTGGTCTTTCTAGGAAGAGCATACATCCCTGGCAAAAAATGTACACCATACCCTATCGCTCAAAGTAACTATTCTTTAATCTGTAGGATAAAAAAACAAAAACTCTATCCTGTAATGATTATGAAGAGTTCACATTATTTAGAAATAAATAAATATATTTCCGCTGAGTTTCATTAGAAACTGCAAGTGATTTACGCCCCAGAGCACCAAAGGCATTGAGTGACTCCTAAGAGACGACTTCTTAAAACAAGCAGTCAGGTTTCGAGCTCCATTGAAAGATATCACAAGTCGTAACGATAAAAACAAAAAGGCTATGGGCTACGATCAAAACATTTCTTGGAAAATTTACCATTAAGGATTCAAATTGTGTAACTTACGGCGAGCTTAGTTTAGAAATAGTGGGACATTTATATCGCAAAGCAACTTAAGCCAGGAGCGGCACCAGAAGGATTCCTTCTCGAATCGATCTCACATGATTCGAATACGGAGCCTTGCGACTAGTCAAGGTAGCATGTGCAGAGGTGTGCGTATGAGCTCAGACTTACTGTTGATGTCTACTTCGTGACCATATTAGAAATATGTTAAGTCGTAAGACAACTAAGGCTACAGCCAACTCCCTCGAATAGATCTATTGGGGCATCGTCAACAGCCTTAGTTGTGGATATATAACTACCAAGCGTTGAGGAGTACAAATCACCAAGAGTTTGGGTTGTGCACATTACGGCAAGCTCAGTTTATATATAGTGGGTGATTGACATCGCAAATAAACAGAGGCTAGAAGCATCGCTCCAGTGCTTCCTTCGGTAATCCAGCGCAGATAATTCGAACCCGGAACCTTGCTGTGAGCTAAGGTAGAGAGTGTACAGCGTTCTCTACCTTGACTGCTGTCTATCTTGACTATCATCGCAGACTTACTGTTGGTGTCCACTTTGAGGTCAGTTCAGAAATATATTAAATCGCAAAGCAACCTAGGCTATGGGCAAGGTCCTAAACAACCCTTGGAGGACTGACCACGAACGGTTTGAATCGCATAACGTGCGGCAAGCAGAATTAAGAATTGTGGGATGCTACATCGCAAAGCAACAAAGGCTAGAAGCATAGCCACAAGGATTCCTTCACGAATCGACCACACGTGATTTGAACCTTGAACTTTGCGGCGAGTCAAGGTAGAGAGAGCGCAGAGGCGTGGGTATCAGCGCGGACTTACTGTTGATGTCGACGCCGAGGCAGACGGACCACTCGGACCTGGAGATGCGCTTGTCCTGGTTGTGGTCGCAGTAGCGGGTGAAGCTGCGGGCGCATGCCCGGGGCTCGACGAAGCGCCGCGCCATGCGCCGCAGATCCCGAACCTCGCGCCTCTGGAGCACCTCGTCCCGGTTCAGGTCCAGCTCGGTGAACTTCCACTGGATGACCTGCTTCTCGGTCGTGTCCAGCAGAGAGGCCGGCAACTGACTCATGTCTGTGGAAGCGGCAGGAAAAAAAAAAAAGAAAAAAAAAAGTTGTGGCAAGACATGCCGTTGTCTGCTAGCAAAGTAAATCAAACTATAGGGGGCGCTATGTCCAGTCTGTTTTCCCCAGAGTAGTGTGTTTACCAACATAGGGAATGTGCAGCACTGGCATCTACTGTAGTAGGCTGGATCGCGGATCGGGAGCGAGTCGTTGGCAGCACCGGCGGTCATTACTTGACACCAGGCAATACATGCAACTTTATGGAAGAAACACACATGAGTAGGAGTATTGAAGCTTCTACCCGGTGCTCGAAGGCGAGTATTTTATTATGTGCTGCGATCATTATATTTTTTGGAGATTGAATTGGTATTTGTCAAACGTTGGGATGCCCAGTAAATTTAAACGTGCCAGAGCTCCCACGGCTGAGGCAGCACGCTTGCTCTCGTCGTGGAATAAACAAAGGAACTTTCCGTTAGTAACAGCGTCCTCGGGGAATTCCAGAAGTTGATGAATGCCGAGAAAGTTCAATGTTGAAAGCGGATTTCGGGGAGTGAGCGAATTGCGCGTAGCAAAGCCTTCGGGCTTGTCGTCTGCTAAACCCAGCTCATCGAAACCGCCACCGACTGTCTCCTGTCTCATTGAGCTGCGCTACATTTTTTGCCTAGCGGAGTTACACTTGACCAGGGAACATTTGTATATAAGAATTGCGAGGGCTGTCAGTTTTAATATTTGTGCACAAGCTGTTTGACAGGCTTCCCGCAAAGCAGCCAAGACGTTTCATGGTTGCCAACAGCATAGAAACGGGGGACCTAGCAGTTTTTCACGTTTTTTTCATAGAGCTGGACGCATTTGGTGGTGCCTTGTGATGGCTCCCGGTTGTGCCACTCAACCCCAGCAAGTCAAGCCTCGATCCGCAAACCAGCCTATACTACAATAGAGATCAGTGATGTGCACTGGATTATTTACTTCGTCTTTCTTGATTGCGCGCGGGGCAAAGACTGGGTACGGCTAGAGCCACTCTATATGGCAGCGTAGCTGCCATATAGAGTGGCTCTAGGTACGGCTGGTGCCCTATTTTTTCCCCGCGTTCAGTTGAAAAAGATGAAGTAAAAAATATCCATGAGTACTGCTTGCCGGTTCGGCTTTACTTATCGAACGCGTACCCAAGCCAAGCGGTGGCGCAACGTTCTGCTACGTCATGGGCCAAGCGCCGCGTCAAAACATAAACAAGTCATCTATATGTTGTTGTCGTCCTCACCGGTGTAGTTTTCAATCTGGCCTCCAGGGGTGCAACGGTTGGATCCCCTTCCCAATAGTCTACAATATATTTTGTGTCCCTTTGTTGTATTTTTTGTTTGGATACTATGTACGCAGACCCTTGTCGAATAACGCTTGTCATGATGACATTATTCCGAGACCGGGGAAGCGGCAGAGAAAATTTGAAGTTGTGGAGAAATGTGGACTTAAGGATCAGGGGTTCGTGTGGGCACTGTTGGTATATTAAAGTCATCGACAAGGTGAAAACGGCAGGACGTCTTTTTTAAACACCCAACCTTCAGCCTGCTTTCATTGCCTTCCTGCGTGCTTTGGCTGCGCGTGCAGCACGCTTGAGGCTCAAGAGACGCCAAAGCATTATCGAAGTCAGGAAGCCAGCGCTGGAGGAGAGACAACTGAAATATATTCCTTTCGTTCTCATCCTCCCGGTGACTGTATACTAGGGGGAAGATCCGAAACCAATATCCTAGAGAGAAAACAATGTGCCACGTTCGGATCAGAGAATCTTCCTCGGTCAGACTTTCAGGCAAACCTACCTCGCCCAAGAAGACAATCTATTGGACACCAAGCTACCCCTGTCAGCAGCGCGTGCTCTTCTGTGGATTCCTAAAAGCAAGTTTCAGTGGGAACATCTGGACGTCATTAGTAGGGAGGCTTAAGTAGAGAGTTCCAATAACTCAGATAACAATCTCGACGACGATATGATGAATGCACAAAGACGCCAGGCAGTTGAATATCTGATATCGCTATCAGACTAATCTGAATGATGTATACTAAAACCTCCTATAGCTGTAATATGGGGGAGCGTTTAAGACGCTTCTACGACACTTAAAGAATATGCGCAGCCGTGGGGGGTAAATAGGTCGAGAAGTTTATTCGCAATAAGTTACTTATCTAAAGAAAAAAGAAGCGAGATTTGAAGAGGAAGTCAGTTGAAAGGTAGGGGTCAGGCTGGTGAAATGGGGTTTGGTTGGAAGCGAGTTTACGCCGCGGTTACGACAGCAACTTTATGCCCTTGAAACTGCAGTCAACAATTTATGGCATTTCGAATATCGTGAGGATAGCAGAGCCCATTACTTTTATTCGTTTAGTCAAGGCCGGTGTAAAGTAAACATATTTTATTTGGACAAAAGTTACCTTGGATTCCTCTTCAGAGCAAATTCCGGCTCATGCGGTCACGATTTGAGGCTGCATTTTAACTTCGCTCGCAACTCGTTCCTATACGACTTGCACCTATATATACAGTATATATATACATATATACACGGTGTTTCACGTAAGAGTGACACAAATTATTAAAATTTGTGTATTCGAGGTAAAAGGAGAATTTTTTCGGGACAGCATTACTCGTGGTGGCGGAGATAAAAAAATGCGCGATACTTACTAAGTAGTTCGCTAATTAACTAAGGTGACTAATTAACTTCTTAATTAGTGAAAATAGGCATATGGTTCCGCTTAGAAACTTGCTGAGAGTCATTGAAAACCACCAAATCAGTCATTTTCAGAAAGACTTTTAGCGCGTGAAAAGAGTAGTGGTGCGTTAAAGTTACCGCTCGTGGAACTGGTACACGTCTGGGGCTCTCACAAGAGACGAGAAAATCGCGCGGGCGCCTTACCACAACCGCTAGCCTTGTACTCGCGCAATATAATGATTATTCTGATTATACCTAATGCTAGCTGCACTTCGGTTAAAAGGCCGGCCGCTGAAGAAAACTGAAAGACTTGCAAATGAAGCTGAAGGATACTATTGGGCACGATCTATTCGGACGCAAGGATTATAGTGCTTAAAATCGAAAGAATAAAACACGGAGGACAAGCACAGGACAACCACGTTGCTTGTCCTCGGTGTCTTATTCTTTCGAGTATTCACGTTCAACCCGCTCGCCTTTACCATTATAGTGCTTAAAATCGAAAGAATAAAACACGGAGGACAAGCACAGGACAACCACGTTGCTTGTCCTCGGTGTTTTATTCTTTTGAGTATTCACGTTCAACCCGCTCGCCTTTACCATTCCAATTAAGGTGCCCCTACATACCATACGCCCTTTCTGAGAGCGAGGGATTTGAGTCGCTAAAGTTTCTGCTTCCATCCGACCTGCGGAAGTAGAGTCCTTTCTTACAAGTAACAAAAAAAGAAGAAAAACCCGTTATGTATGTGGCAGACGCCTGTTCTGTTGCAGGTCGCTCTCCACTGTAGGGTTGTGCGAATCCCGGTTCGAATCGAATAGCGCAGTGTCATCCCTAGCTTTAAGACAGTTAAGAAAACCTGTTGTTGTAGCTTTCCCTTCCACCGTGGAGGCTATGAATGACGCAGTGCTATTCGATTCGAGCCGGTATTCGCACATCCCTACTCTCCAGTGTGACAGTTCATGGAAGCTCCGGCAGCCAGAAGCTGGGACGCCGCGACGATAGCGACACTCGCGTTTGTTCAAGGTTCCCGCCAGCATTTCTACGACCAACCGTCAGGATTGCGACATCCGTGAGCATGACTCTCAGGCTTCTATGACGTCATTTGTTGCCACTTCGGGAGCATTTTTGATGTACGGACAGCATAGTATGACCAACGGGTATAACTTACCGGAAGCGGGATGGCTGGGAAGCCTCTTGAACTCTTTCTGGAAGATGTCTACGAGGTTTCCGTTGAACTGGCTCCTGTCTGCGTTGGTGCAGCCTGTCGAGAAAAACACCAGCAAAAAATTAGAAAAAGAAAACAGAAAAAAAAACAGCGGGCCTTTATGGTATTTTTGTTTACAAATAATAGGCCCAAATGTAAGCCTTAATGAAGTACACATAGTAATAAGGAATAAATACGTTGTAACAGATAACCATGCTATCGTAATATTTTGTTCTTCGTTTCTACTCTTAATAAATATTGTACCATCTTACATTTTCTTACAGGCAGCGATGGGCGTCAGTACGCATGTTTTTTTAAATTTGTTTTCGCAAATATTGGATGACCGGTTCCGATATGTCTGCTAATGTTCTGCTGTTGTTTTTTTATTAACTGTTGACACATTTATTTTCATATAATTTCTAGCTTTTCTTTTTTAATATTGTAATTTCTTTTACATATTTTTTTCGTATTTATCTGTTTTAGCTTCTTTTTTATTTTCCTTCTGTCTAGCTTTTTTTTATATATGTTCTCTGACCCCGTCCCGTCCGCGTCATCCGGACCGGTACCATTTGAATTATGCACAGTCAGTAAGTATTCCGTGCTTTGCCCATGCTCAATCAAGATGCGTTTAGCATATGATTACGCACGCTTAGCACCGATGAACCCTAGGCCGACTTATTACGGCTAGCCCAGGAATTGGTCCTCAAACGGCTCTGCAGGTAAGCTTAGAACAGGTCGTACTAAAACTTCTTTTGTTCTTAACATAGGTGCCACGTTTAACACGTTCTCACCGTCTCAAACAGTAGTTTGAGCTCAGTGTTGTATAAAATAAGATACAATACCGTATTATTACAGCATGCCTCGATGTTTTGAATATATTGAATATAGGCGGAATTTTAACTTAATTACACTTCGGCTCAAATAATTGTGACTGAGGAGACGTTTGGAACAAACTAAGAACTGGCTGATGCATTTTTTTTATTGTTAAAAATATACATGCTCGATCAGGCTGACAAAGACTGGTAAACAAAACACAACATCTTTCTTAATTAATTAATTAATTAAAACCGAGCGTGCTCATAAGGACCAATTTTACACACTAAAGAATAAACAAATAGGACGCAGAGAAGGACAAGACTTCTTTCAACAGGCCTTCACTTATCCGCGTTCGTCTGCTGGGTCCCAGGTGACAGCGCTTCCTGCTTCTTCTGCCATTTCTTACGTTCTCGGGATAAACTCACCTCCCTATCCTTGCACCGTGGCCACGGTTGGAAGAAGAGGGAGGCGTCTCAACGGCACCGCCTCGCTACAAAACCAGCCTGTCGAAGATTCTCTTCTATTTCTGACCATCTCCGTGAGATGATGCAGCATGACAGGCCCACTCACTTTCAAGTACGCGAAGCCTGCCTGAGCGCGCGGCTTTCAAGATCTCTCTTCACGTTGAACGCAACTGCCAATATTCACGATTTTGTGCACGACGGAATTAAGGGCCTCCAAGCTCTAGGTGTATCCCTCTGCCAAGCTGAAAGGGTATCGAAGAGGAGAAGAAGAAACCGAGAAAGGGAAGGAAAACGACTTCGCGCCAGTGTGGCGCACTCTCTGCTCCGAAAGGGAAAGCAAATATTTTTGGGGAAGGATCAAGTCATCTCGTTCTACCGGGTGTCTCTAATAGCGGCCAGGTTCTTTAAATCGACAGAAAATATCGGTCACGATTTTGTGCAGCAACGCCCACAGGTGGTGCATTTCTTCTATAAAATTTGCAAAGATCAAACTTACCTGAGGAAAAAGTAAAAAAAAAAAATAAAAAAATAAAAAAATATATAAAGAGGCTTAATTCCTATGGACACGAAGTGAAGCCATCGGTCTTCAAACCATATGGCGCCCTACTGTTTGAACACCGGTGGCTCCGCTGCGTCTCCATATGAGTTAAGCCTTTTCCTTTTTTACTTTTTCGTGAGGTAAGTTAGCTCTTCGTAAATTGTATAGAAGAACTGCACCACCTGTGGGCAGCGCTGCACAAAATTGTAGCATTATAAGCTAAGAAACCGAATTTCGCGGTTGATTTAAAGAGCCTGGCCGCTATTTGAGACAGTGGGTAGAAAACATGGCCGTAAAGGATGAATTTTTGACACCATCTTCCGAAGGTTAGCGGGAAAAGGGGGGAGGGGGGGGGGGGGGGCAGACCTAACATGTGGACGACTACGGTGCCTGAAACGCGTTTTCGACTGATGTCATTAGAGTCCTGCCTCGCCCATACATCAAACGAGGTCCCAAAGTGGCAGCCAATGACGTCGCAGAATTCGGAGCGCTATGCTGTAGGACGTGGCGATCCTGGCGGTCGACGCTAGAAATACGGGCAAAAAGGACGAGAGAACGCGAGTGTCGCTGTCGTCGCGGCGTCCTAACTCCCGGCCGCCGAAGTTTCCGTGGACTGTCGACCCACAGCAGAACAGGCGTCTGCCACATCTACCCCCGTTGTTGTGACACCGCCAGGATCGCGGCCGGCGACAATCGTGACACTTCCGTGACGTCATCAGTCAGAAACGGAGGGACCACTTTCCTTGACGCAGTAAACACACCAATCGGAGTCGCGTTCGAGGCACCGTGGTACTATACGTAAGCTTTTAGCTGGGACTCGTGCCACCACTGACTGAATGCGATTTCGAGCCGAACGATAACGCGGCACTCGTGACGCACCCTGCGGCATAAGAAACGTTGTCCTCTAGCTCTTTTCAACGCCAATGGGTGAATGGGTAAGGTAGAAAATTCAGCACCACGGCCTTCTCTATCGGAATGTATTGGTCAAGCATTCGCGGGAGGAGGGGCGAGGAGTCGGAGAAGGAAGAAACTATAGCAGAAGCGGAAAGCGCGAATGTATATACGTCAGCCTTTAAAGCGAAGAAGTATAGGAATCTCGAACAGCGCTTACTCGGGCGAGAACTTACCTTTCTTAGGAAGTCCCCTCCGCGGTGCTCTCCTCTGGAATGTGGTCTTCTTGTCTGCGGCGTGAGAGAGCGCAAGAGATGAGAAAAGAGCAGCACGGGATTGACTGAGGAGCTCGGACACGGGAACAGAGGCAAAGTTATGCTGAGGTGAAGAAACACATTTAGCGGAGGTGATTACACCGGGGAGGTTAATGACTGCCATATTGGAAGCCGCCTCTTTTATATTCGTTTACTGCCTACATGGGTTGTTTCGTTATAGTTGACAACTATACTTAACGGCAATCTTTGAAAAATCCCGAGACCAAGGAATACGCAAAGGATATGTTTCTCGGTACACAGTTTCCTCAATATTGAGAGCCCACCAGCTCGACTCTATTTTCTCAGTTATTTCTAGCATTCACCGTTTAACTTTGTGTTATTGATGTTTTTATAGCGACTGAGCGCGTGCCAACGGCAAACTTCTACAGCGTTTTCAAGACGTGCATTCCACATAATCGAGATATTTGTTGTTTGCAAACCATAAACGAGAATTCGTTCGGTGGATATACAATGCATCTTGCTCTGATATGTACGTTGTCTGAAGCACATCACTCATAAACAGAGTAAGAAAAAATCGTAATTTTCTTTAAAACGTTAGATTGATTTAAGTTATAGTTATTTGATTTAAATTGTATCCATTTAATTTGAATCGATGTATCTTGAATATAGGGATTCTTTATTACGAGGTCTAGTAATAAAGAATCCCTATATTTTTTATTACTCGCAATAGGATGCTACGCAACTGACGAACAAACTGTAAGGTAGAAAAAAAGCTAAATGCTCCGATTTGCATAGGAGAGCACTGCTTTTTGTTCGTGTTCAGCCCGATATAAATCTTCCTTGCTCAATGATTCTTTGATAAAAATACAAAACAAATGTACACAGAAAGCATGAAACGAGAGACAAAGGATAATACAAAAAAATTCTGGGAATATTTTTTTTTTTTCGCGTGAAAGGTCCGATTTAAATCATCATAGTATAAGTGGTTTGATTTACATCACGGTTTAGTTCATGATTTAATTTGAGATTTCTATAATCTTGATTTCTTTTCTCCATCCTGCCCCTGAACCGTTTCAATAATCGACCTATTCGCCTACTGGGCTGTGAAACGCCCTGTGAGCGCGTACAATGGCTCTCTTCTGCAGAATATCAGCCAGCACGAATGCAATCAGAGCCCAGTGATTTGTCATTTTTGTCTGAGTTGATAAGCCTTGAGGAGATGTATAATCACTCTACGATAAAGTTTATAACGAATTTCGCTTTAGAAGGAATTCATTATATTCCTTCATTACAAGGACTTTCGCGTTTGGGCTAATCGGGCTGCGAAGCGCGTTTTGAGCATGCGCAATGGCTCTCTTCTACGGAATGTCAGACGCCGCGTATGTATACACGACCGTCACACGACATTTTGGCCTGGGTAATAAGCCCCCGAGAGGACTACTGTCAAAACCGGTCATAACAAAGTCAACGGAAATCGGAAATCGCTTCACTATATCCGCTATTTCGTTATAACCGACTTTGGTTAGCGAAGTGCAAAAAGAAATGGGAAATCGTGATCGCTTCGATGTAGCCGCGATTTCGTTAAAACCGACTTCGTTATAACCGGTCTCGACAGCGTAATCATTCTATTTACAGAGCCACATATGTCTTATGTACGAACGGGCGCTGCTAGGGATGGTAAGATTTATAACGAAGTTCGCTTAATAAGAATTCTGTATATTTTTTCATTACAAGGGCTTTAGCATGTGCGCTTACTGTGGTGTAGAACGAATTTCGAGTATGCGCAATGCGGCAAACATGCATTCACAGTATACAAAGACTTGGTATGTTTGGCCTGTCCCGGTAAAAAAGGCTTAGTTATTCAATACCAGGCGGCACAAATATATGTTATGCACGTCCACTAGACATCTATGGAACGTTAGGACGTCTTAAAGGGCCCCTGAAAAGAAAAAAAAGTTTTTTTTTAAACAGTCTGGTTGGGACACGCGTGTCAAAAAATGAATTTTACGCGAAAAAAAAAATTTTTTAGAGCAATATTGACGGCGAGAGATTTATTTGAAATTTTGCGCGCAAATTCCTGGTCATTCAGCTCGGCTTCTCATTGGTAACCATGGTCATTCAAATCGGCTTCTCATTGGCCAATAGAATGAGTGACACCTTAGATGTTGGTTATAAAATCTTCGTGATCTCTTGAGATCGCCTTTTGAATTACATATTTTTAGGTTTAAAACAATCCATCGAATGATTGTCGCAATTGCTTACAAACGTTTTACAAAATCGTAACTTCCGTTCGGATACTACAACAAAACAACAAACAAACGCTTCGCCATTTTGTTTTCTGTCATGGTCGCCGTCGTTGTAACGCGTCTCGCGTACCTCGGGTGGTTTTATAGTTTTATCGAGTTTATATGTGAAAACCTTCTGAAGAGGGCTTGTTGCTTGTGTTAGTTAATCATCGTAAGTACTTAGCAAGTGGCGCGGTGTGACATGTTTTTGTTTTCCTGCTCTTCTTTGCGTGATTCGTGTGTCCCGTTTACCCCATCTTTAGTATGTTTTCTGGCGAGCGCCAGTGCCAATTTTCTTTTTAGATATCGGTTCCCGTAAAGAGTTTAGTGAAGGCACGCGGCACCGCACTCAACGTTTAATAAAAAAATGAGTCACCACTGCGTGTCCTCGCGGCGGCTTGAAGGGTCGTGCGGCTCGGACGAACTCGCCGAGGCTCCCGCTTCGCCGCCTTCCGCAGCGAAGTGGGTGCCTCCTCGCGAGCGGTTGTCTCGCGGCGATCGGACCGGACGCCTTCCGGCTGGCGAGGCGTGTCCTCGTACGGGCGAAGGCCCAGCTGCTGGCAGCGTTGAAGGGTTGAAGCAACCGACGCTTCAGGTCGGGATCCATCGCGACGAGTATGTACTGTGTGACCACGGTACGTGCACGATACGACGCGGAACGTCGTGCGACCGGCAGACACAGGGGCTGTGTCGCTGTGTTCCAAATCTCCAAATGGATCCGAGTTATTCCGGCGGATCGTATCACGTGACAGCACAGATGGAAAAACGCTGTACGCGGGTAGGTTTTAGAACGCCAAGGGTACAAAACTCTTACCCTGGGGTAAGATCGAGTAAATTTTGGAACACGGCCAGGAAGTAGCAATTAGGGGTGTCGCGAACCGGCCGAGGTTCTAGGTCGACCTGGTTCGACTTTTTCGAACTTTTCGTGGAAATTTCGACGAACCTTGTATTGAGGTTCGACTCGTGTGCGCATGCGCGACAGGCTGGCCAGTTGGCTTCGGATTGGATGGTAATGGCTAATGGATGAATTAAGGGCACCGCTGGTTGGTTATTTCAGTTAATACAGTACAAAAAAAAAATAAGTTATTAACGTCTTTAGTGAATAGAAGTGGTTTCTTTTAATTCCAACTGTTCATAAAATAAAATAACCATTTGCATAAAAATAAATTCTCCAAACCTAGACATGCATCTATCAAGGTCTGGCCACACTGTCCGCAAAGTCGAACCGGTCGAATCTGGTGAAACGTTTCGAAGGTTCGTCGAACCGGTTCGACCCAGTCGAACCCCGAAAGTTCGACCTAAAAATCCGGTTCGACAAAAGTTCGCGACACCCCTAGTAGCAATGGCTCTTGTGCGGGGCGCAGCCAAGCCGGGAAAGTAGCCAAGCCGATCCACTACGAAGAGGCGGGGTGTACCTCTCCTCCACGCGCCCGAAATGCCGAGAGAGAAAAAGGTGGAAAGGAGGTGACTGCCGGCTAAATTGCGTCTGGCGCGGTCAATATTGCTCTAAATTTTTTTTTTCGCGTAAAATTAATTTTTTGACACGCGTGTCCCAACCAGACTGTTTTTAAAAAACTTTTTTTTTTTCTTTTCAGGGGCCCTTTAAGGACACCCTCAGAGCCACGTGCGTTGCTATAGGGATGTTGAAGTTTATAGCGAATTTCGTTTCATAAGAATTCGGTTGTATATCCGGTTGTGAGGAGAGTTTTGGTGTCTGCGCTCACCGGGGTGCGTGCAGTTGGGCCTTTTGTTCTGCACGGAGGATCCGGACAGCACTTTTCCCTGCGCGTCGACGCACCAGCAGTAGCCCGTGAGCCGGTGGCACTGCACCTGGACGAAGGCTCCGTCCGCGGAGCAGTCCGGCACGAAGACTCCGGACGCCCCGCTCCGGACTTGCTCCAGGGCCTGGCTCCGCTGCGACCAGCACCGGCGCGCGTCTGCTTAGGCAGCAACGCGCCACCGTCACTCGCTATCGAAGCGAAAGGTTCTCCAAGCGCCACTCTAAGCCTGGCTCAAAATGAAGCGATTCTGTGACTTTGGCAAGCTAGTGCTCAGAATAAGCATTTCGCTCTCACAAGGCATAGAACAAAAATCTGTTTTTAAACTTTGCCAGAGGAAAGCATCTATGTTATTTTTTTTTATCGCTTCGTGATTCAACCTTGAATGCATTGGACAATGCAGCAATCTCATTGCTTGCAAAGCGATAGCAAGGTGCCAGGGCTAGCCGCCTCCGGCGTTTGTTAAAGGGACCATCAAACGATTTTCCAAATTCTTCCTCCTTAGCTTTAATCCTCAACTCAAAAGCAAAACGAGAAATCACGTGGTCGTAAATTCCTTGGGCACCGGATTTGATGACTCCAAGCTTCTACAATGTCTGGGAAACTGCATGAAGCGGTCCTGTATTTGAGGAAAAACATCTAAATCCTCTTCATTTTGCCTCCAGGATCACGAATATCGAGATTATTTTTCGATTCGGTGCACGGCGGCTGCAGAAATTAATTTTTAAAGTACCGCCGAAGCCCCTCCTTCCCGGGGCGTGACGTCATATTAGGAGTTTTTGGAATCACTGTTCTCGCATATCTTCAGCGCCTGTCAAAGCGACGCACGCGCAGTCTTGCTATTTTCAGAAAGGTCAGAAATAGACGTCACGACTGGCGTCAGTGTGGAAAAAAATATACCTGGCAAACTTGCAATTACACGCGCTGCCCACACGAGCGACATTCGCTTGGCGCCCCAAATATACTAGTATGACGTCACGACTGGTCGGAGGTTTTTCGTGTCTTTTCGCGTTTAGTTCTACCTTCGGGGAAAACAAACGAATTCAGATTTACGGGGTACACCATAATACACCTCTAACTCCTTTTTTCTTCAATAAGTGTTTCAACTTCTCTTCAAAGGCCGACTTACTACCACGGTTCTCTGCAGGGAAGATAATCTTCTTAGCACTCCCCTCTCCTAAGCTGCGAGGGGAGCGAAGTTGGGTCAAGGGAAAAAGTGGGGAGGATAGGGGAAGCCGAAGGTGGGCAAAAGTATAAAGGGCGAAGTGTACGTCGGCCTTTAAGCACACCATAAAACTTGCCATTCGTGAGCGATGATAAGTGCCGTCACTGCACTGATTGGCCACGAAAGCGAATCCAAATATTCGTCGACGGATCGTTTGTTGACGAGCGCATACGTCCGAGTGACGCAGTCCTCGTGCCAAATGCCTGAGCTGGGTCCAGCTGACGTGCTTGGACACCGCGGATGCACAACAGTGAAAAGGCGGAGAGCTTTTGAAGGAAAGGAGTCAAGACATAGTCCGCTATTTTTTCAGATTTCCTTACCAAAAGGCAGGCTTTTTTTGGCTTTCTACCCTCGCATACTAGTTTTCTTTTGGCGCACTAAATGATATGCGATTAGTAAAATCACAATTTGTCCCAGCCCAAAATTCATTTCATGGTCCTTTTAAGCCTGCAGTGACTATCCCTATGTCTCTCTCTAAACAAGTAAAAGAAGGATCATTCGTTGGTATTGTAGACATTCCGCATGGTCGGGCTCAGAAAAGGCAGAACGCAAAGGGGTTCTGGAGCCCCAGTCTCACTAGAACGACAAACAGCAGAAACCAACACCTACCAACCTGAAGGAACGAATAAACCTCTAACACAGAAAGTTACACCGAGTCCTCTTGACCAAAGCCTTCTGGATGAAGACCAACCCCCAGCATGCCCAGCATGCATGCGTTAAGGTGTCTTTCAGACGGTTTGCGATTGCTGGTACTTGCTCCACGGGCTCCGAGCGCCGAGGGATTCGAAGCCTGCCAAAGACACCTCCGCGTGCATGCTTTGCGTGCTTCTGGTTGGCGTGTTTCGGCGGTTGCCGTTTGTCGCTCGAGTGGGTTTCCATGAGACACAAAAGTGGCGAACAAGGAAACCAAATTCTTGCAATTACTTAAGAGTAACAAATAAAAAGTGTTATGAATTTTTTTCGTGTTGTTTCATGTATACATATTCGCATGGAGTGATGTTGAAGGGTGACGTGGCTCTATACCCTATCTTTTACGGTTCATTTGAAATCTGTCGTGGGACTACGATAGCTTGCTTCGGAAAGGCTTTTGAGAAGGATGCCTGCCTGATTGAGTTGGTCAGGTAGTGCGGCCGTGAACGCAGTACAGAAACATCATCCATGGCCTCGTCAAACTGGGGTGCCAAACACCAAAGTTTGTTCACCAACAAACCAAAATCTGATTTCTGACATACCCGCCAACCTTCCGTCCTCAACTCGTTCAGACACATGTTTTTTTTTTTGTTTTTTTTGTGGTCAGTTGTTTACGCTGAAGTGTAAAGAATGTTGGAGTTATGGTGCCTGGAGCGTGTCTCCGACCGTGGCGTTAACCACGACCTTAAATATGGTATCTCGCTCTCAGCTCGGCAGTCTACGGAACCTTCTGCCGCAATGAGTTCGGACGCCGCGATGGCAGCAACACTCGAATTCGCTCGTCTTAATTTTTTTTTCTCCGGAACTTCTGAGATTAATTGCTAGTATTGCAACATCCGAAATCATTTCAAAGTTACAAAGTTTTTTTTATTCAGTTTATACAATGCTGTGCTCTCCCCGGCAAGGAAAAAAAAAAACGCTCTGAAGGCAGTTTGATGAGGCCATTACAAGGCGTCGGCAACGCAAAGAAAACACAAATACATAAGACGATGAACATCATTCGCTCTCTCTACTGTACTAAAAGTAAAATGATACCTTCGATGATTGAAGAAGTACTAAAGCTTCAATGAGAGTCACAAGTTTGCTCGATTGTACTGTACCTTCGTTGATAATCATGAAACTATTAAAACGTTAAAAACTCCAGAGTTGAAAACCGAAACCACCCACTCCTGTGTCGTCATTTGTTGTCATTTTGGGATAACTTACGATGCGCCGGTGGAATAAGGCGTTATAAACACAACAGTTGAAATCGCGCTCGAGGCAGCTTAGTTAGAATACAAGTTGACAACTTGTCCGCGGGCAGCATTTAGTATTTGCAACTCCAACATGCCTGCGGGCACGGGCTTTGACGCTTTTTTTTTTGTTGTTGTTGTTTCGTTATGGCTTGCTCAAGACTACCTACATTTTTTCTACTAAATAGCACAAATCAAAATTATGTTTGTATTATCTAATAACTGCCGAGACCGAATGTGACGAAAGGCAGATTTGGTCGCAATCTGCAATTAAGGCATATGCCAGCTAAGACTAGCTCTTTAAAAAGGTAAGTGGTTATTTTTAGATAATTGTTCCCCCGATCACGACGTTACATTCTTACCTTGATGCCGGTAAATCTTTCGCGAAAGAATGATTTTTTTTTTTTGTTTAGGGGGAGGAGTTCTATTCTTATAATTCTATTGAGTAATCAGGCACCCTGCACACCTGACATCTGGATACCAACTGACACTATAAGTCGGGTGGCTGCTCATTAAACTCAGAATTTAACTCGGTCGTTTATTGGCAAAGTTATACGTGGCTCGTACTGACGTCACACAAGTTGCCATTGCAGAGGCCTTTCTGTTGAGCACGGTCCTATAGCACATACATCCCGCACCACCCAATTCGTTTTTCACTGCAAAAACCACCAGCATGATAAAAAAAAAATAAAAAAAACCTTTCAGCCTTTTTGCTTTGGTGAAGAAGGAAGAACAGCGGAGCTGTACCATGTGCCGCCATCTATGAGCGACGGAGGCAACCAGACAACCGGGAAGCCGGTTGTCCGGTGTCATCTGTCGCTCATAGATGGCGGTAGCTGTTCAGAGGGTTGTGTCGAGATTCCTTTGTCCACGGACACAAAACTGGAGAAACTAGTCCTTAACAGCTCCGCTGTAAAAGATAAAGAAGAAAAGAAAATGATTGTGTTCTGACCTGGGCACTGTCCCTCGTGCTTGACTTCGACGAGGTGTCCTTCGCAGCGCGCTCGGTCCACCTCGCACTGTGAAGAGTAGGTGCGCCCGTCCGAACCGCACAGCACTCGTGAGTCGGCCTCGCTGCAGTCCGCGTCGGACACGGCGCACTTGCGGGAGGCGTCGCCGTCCGAACTGCGCAGGGGCAACTGCGGGGCGAAACAGGAGCAGAAAAAACACCGAACATTATGCGACTACCCTCTCCACGCTCTAATTTCATCTCCACAAAAACGTTCAGCCTTTCCACTCTGGTGAAGAAGGAAGAGCAGCGGAGCTGTACTATGTGCCGCCATCTATGAGCGACGGCGGCAAGTCAGCTGTCTGGTTGCCACCGTCGCTCATAGATGGCGGTAGCTGTCCAGAAAGTTGTGTCGAGATTTATTTGTCCACGGACACGAAACTGGGGAAACTAGCCCTTAACAGCTTCGTCGTAAAAGTATCCGAGTGATCGTAGATCAAAGAGATCAAATACGTCCGACACACGAGGTTCAGAGGAATTAAGATGCTATAGAGCAAGCTATAGACCACCTTTACGCCGCTTCACCTTATGCTGTGCCTCAGCCAAGGCTACGGGCCGTCCCAGCCGGTCCAGCGCTTTGTACACAAGACGTCATTACGCACCCTACACGTTGCTAGAGCTGCGCGCGGGCCTCCTAAAGGTCACGTGATATTCACACATCTCAAGGCGTAGGATTGACTTCAATGGCTCGTAGCGTCTCCAGCGCTCCATCGTGAGGCGGAGTGTAGACTAATGAAAAACCTGGCGAACGGCCTTCTCTACCTCCACGTGACGTCATCACACTATTCGCGACTCCAGCGTCATAGAGGGGTCGCTACTATCGGGTCCAATTGGGCGGTCCAAGACTGGGTCGTGCCGCATCATGCACCAGCTCAACGCACAACGGACGGGTTTCAGCAGGCAAACATTGGACTCAAGATGGCTCTCCCCGATTTTTGTTCACTGCGTTTCGAACCTGCTATATGTGTTGGCGTGAGGGAGCTTCCAGAGGCTTCGCGACCCTCTTCGGGGAGGCAACGGAAGGAGAGCGGTGCTTACCAGCGTCGATAAACACACAGTGTCTGGTTCATGCCGCAGCGCATAGACCTGTTTCACAAGGGCGCCGCCATCTTGAATGATCGTCACTTCCAGTATGGGCAAAAACTTCGTTTTGCCGTCGCCATGCCAATAGAATACATCGAGGATATATTCGCACCCGTCACCCATTCTCATTTTGTCTCCCCTCTATCTATTTTTTACTAGTTGCAGGTGGAAATGTTTTCTTTTTTCGCCCTGTTAATCTTGTTAATCCGTGATCAGATGGAACAAGTCCAATTGACCTTCCCTCAACCAGTTCAACTAAAGAGGAGAGGGATATGTATTATGCTCAGATAGCCGTAAGGCCTCGGTTGAAAAAGGACTGGGCGCTTTGTTTTCCACAGATATTTAATACCCTAATATAAACTAGCATTCACACTTTATATTTAACTTCAGCGCCTTGATACGTGTAAACCTAAGTCGATGTTGACTAACGCCGCAGCGTTGCTCTGCACATCCAAGCAAGGGTTTGCTCGATGCGCTTTGGCTCCCCTTGAGCCCGAGACCATCTTGTAGTGTCTAAAGACGCTAAGAGACGCTGAACGACGCTACCTAATGTTGACATGGTTTTAGACGTAGATTGCAACTCAGCGAGGAATGCTATGCTTGTTTACGTTACGCGAAGTATGAACAACCCTGAAGGTAGTTTGGTTTCTTGTCGCGAGCGGAATTTGATACGAAGGCTGTGGCTGTCTGTATCCCCCTGTTTGGCTGAATTCGCTGAAGTTAGCTTACGGGCCTTCGGAACCAACCCAACGACGCCGCTGATCGCTCATGGTGTGCACGTGCGAGCGCGCTCTCTCTTATCGCGCACCGAGTCGAGTTCACTCGGCCATGATGGATGATGTCGCGCCTAGGGACGTGGACACTGCTCGGAGCGGACCTGGCCGACGGAATTCAATTAACACTCTTCACCGGCTCCGTTCGAAAACCTCGCAACGGGCAGCAAAAGACAGACAAACAAAAATGGAGCGCAGTTCGTTTGGCCCCGCGCGTCAACAAGCCATTGGGAGGGACGTCGCCTTCCTGGCGGGAAAAAGGGGAAAAAAAAGAAGAAAGACAAGAAGAGATTGTGGAATGCGGCTGGAGCCAAACAAACACAAAGCGCCCGGACGACGCTGTTGGATGGCACGCGGCGGCGCGTCGGCGACGGTGGCGAAGACATGGCGCGGAGTGTGTCCTCCGCGAGGAACCGTCATCAAGGGTTGTTGGCTTGCCCCGAAAAAAGGCATCGGCAGAGGCATGGCGCCGCCGTTATCGGCTGGACCGACGCGTCCGCCAACCTGTTCCCCGCAGGGTGCGCGAGGCTTCCACGAGACCGCGTGGTCCAGTTCACGGGTGCATCCTCGTGCTGGTGTGGGGGGAAAGAGTCGGGGTTGCCCAGCAGGGAGCTCTTCTCACGGGTAGGTATACCGGAGCCTCTTTCTCTTGTGGTCACCTAAAGTACAAAAGTCTGTCAGCTAGCACTGTCTCTCGCGTGCTTCTTCAGCATGTATGACGATCCTCTTAACCCGGGGTGTCACACTGCTTATATACATCATACAAAAGACCGTCTGCATGCAGATTCGAACGCGAGCCACCGCGAGATCCGTGCTTCGAATGCCGCGTGGCAATGAGTTCGAAGAGGAAACTTGGGCACGCGGCATTCGAACCACGGATATTTGCGGTGGTTCGTGTTCGAAGACTGTCTTTTGTATGATGTATATGAGCAGTGTGACCTCGGCTTTAGTCGGACAGAAACTGCTGTCTGCAGAGATGTTCAAAGCGTGCGTACGTACGTACAAAGCGAAGGTACACCCGTGAGCGATATGAAGGTGAACAGCCCTCTTGTTTTTGACGCTTCTGCAAGTATTGAAAGAAGCCCCGTTCCAGAAGAGGGCTAAAACGCAAAGTTTATGCCCCAAGCCAGGTACCATTTGAGACGTTGAGAGATAATATAGCTTTCGGGAGCCACAAAACAAGCAAGAAACCAGGTAAGGTGTTCACCTTCATATTGCCGGTGGGTGTACATTGAACGCGCTTGAGGCACGCGTCTGTAGATAACTAGATCGTGTCCGCCGCGAACACTGTCTTTTTTTTTTATGTTTTATTTCAAAAATGTGCGATTAGTGTGACCCGCCAGCTTAAAAAAGCTGCGGGTTCACACACGCGTTTGGTAACACCCGGGTGCGCTGTGCAGCCTCGTGCCGCCTTACGACGAGCGAACACACACTGGCACGCTGGCGCCATCTTGAGGTAGCCACGAAAATGCGGTTAACTAGAGTGGACGTTTTGCAGTATTTTCGAAGATCAAATGTGTACGTGCTATTTGCGAGAAACGGTCGTGTATGCGATGCATTATCGAAACCTTTTCGTACTCGCGGTGAAATGACGATGCGCGAAAATGATGGGAAATATTCGCGCAATTGGTGAGTGTTTGAGGGCTGCCCGATAGATGCCATCATTGTGTCTCTTCTCGTTAAAGACAAGCACGAGGCTGAACACGACTACGCAGCGCACTTAAACGAAAAACAACAGCAACACAATCTTCGAGCTTACAATCACGCTGCTCGTATGTTGGCGACTGAAGTAAGTGGATCGTGCGGAAGCAGCGCCAAGCTCCCTGTATGGTCGCCATTTTCGCTCACGAAATGAACTTCTCCTTGACTTCTTCATTCTTTATTTATTTATTTTCTTTCTTTCCGGATTGACCGCGAGGTGGGCAGAGACTAAAGGCGTGATGCCTGACGAGGTCTCTGTCCAGTTAGTGAGTCGATCCAAATTCGCTGGTGACGGGTAGCTTCACGGAGACGTTTCTTGTATATTGAGATTTTGGCTATCCAGACACCGGGGGAACGAGCGTAAACATCTTCGTACTACTTCCACATGCGGTGTCGGTGCTCGGAGGCATCGAAAAATTACTTTCCCGCTTTGAAATACGCGAGAAGAACGATATAATTGCAAGAGATCCGTGAAGATGGGTATGATTGATAAGTTGATCGCATACACAGTGCAAAAGACGCTTGTCTTGGGAAGAACGCCTTCAGTACGATGATGCTCCATAGTGATCTTGGTGCGACTGGATTAGAACGACCCTCTCGAAACTTCGAAGGGGCCGAAATGGCAAAGAGGCCACTCGTGCTTGCGGCAATGGCTTCCCACCGCACTTTTTACGCACAATCGAACTTGTCGTTTGCTACTAATAATCTTGGCCGTGACGTCAGGGATGGTATCCGTAAGATGGCGCCACAGGAACTATCTCGTCGCCAATAGGCGCTTCAAAGCACGCAGCTTCATCTCAGCCAGCCAGTGTGGGTCATGGACGTATAGCGTGATAGAGATCTGGTGGCGTTTGTTCGTCTCCCTTTCTTCGTGTTCAACTTTGTTTCCTCTGAAAAGTTTCCCGAGCATCGTGCATCCACTGTGGACGCTGACAGCTCAAGAAATGCAGAGCGTCGTGAGTCCCGTCTGCATTTCGTTATCAAACCTCAGCGAATCGGGTTGCGTCATCGACCGATAAGAACGTCGGAAAGCCAATTACGAAGCAAGAGGCGTGAGCGACATCAGCCACGCCCTTCATTTCTTGAATTGTTATTGACTGGCGCATCAACGACTTTTGTTAAGCCTAAGCGTAGCCGAGAATGATCAGCTTCGATTCGCTCGTTAGTGTCGGCCGGGCACACGTTGACCATGTTAGCATCTCCCTCACTTGCACGGCACTCATTGAAAAGAATGAAATTACTTGTCATCAATTACCTTTTTGTAATTTTGTAGTCATTTCATTACTTTTATTAGAAGGCAATCGCTAGAGTGATGTGATGACCTTAGGACATCATATTGCTCTTGCGATTGCCATTTTAATGTCGTCCTTTGTTTCTACAAGTTTCCTACCCAGAGATCATCGAACCATTTTCCCGCAGCAGAATGGTGTACCTCCCACCGGAGGATGGTCCACAAGAGAATGGTACATAGGTAGACCATCAGGAGGATGGTCTACCTATGTATCTGAACATTAGTTGATTGAGAAGGTAAGTCGCCCTGTAATTTGGTGGTTCTGTGCCGATTAACAGACAG